TTGATAGATCTTGTTTGTAGTGAAGGTATGATGAAATATGTTTTTGATAGACCTTGTTTGTGGTGAAGGTATGAAGAAATGTGTTTTTGATAGATCTTGTTTGTAGTGAAGGTATGATGAAATATGTTTTTGATAAATCTTGTTTGTGGTGAAGGTATGAAGAAATGTGTTTTTGATAGATCTTGTTTGTGGTGAAGTATGATGTAACGTGTTTTTGATAGCCATTGTTTGTGGTGAAGGTATGATGTAATGTGTTTTTGATAGACATTGTTTGTGGTGAAGTATGATGTGATGTGTTTTTGATAGATCTTGTTTAGGTGAAGGTATGATGAAATATGTTTTTGATAGATCTTGTTTGTGGTGAAGGTATGATGAAATGTGTTTTTGATAGATCTTGTTTGTGGTGAAGTATGGTGTAACGTGTTTTTGATAGATATTGTTTGTGGTGAAGGTATGATGTAATGTGTTTTTGATAAACATTGTTTATGGTGAAGGTATGATGTAATGTGTTTTTCATAGACATTGTTTGTGGTGAAGGTATGATGAAATGTGTTTTTGTTAGATCTTGTTTGTGGTGAAGTATGATGTAACGTGTTTTTGATAGCCATTGTTTGTGGTGAAGGTATGATGTAATGTGTTTTTGATAGACATTGTTTGTGGTGAAGTATGATGTGATGTGTTTTTGATAGACATTGTTTGTGGTGAAGGTATGATGTAACGTGTTTTTGATAGACATTGTTTGTGGTGAAGGTATGATGTAATGTGTTTTTGATAGACATTGTTTGTGGTGAAGTATGATGTGATGTGTTTTTGATAGACCTTGTTTGTGGTGAAGGTATGATGAAATATGTTTTTGATAGATCTTGTTTGTGGTGAAGGCAGGATGTAATGTGTTTTTGATAGAGCTTGTTTAGGTGAAGGTATGATGAAATGTGTTTTTGATAGAACTTGTTTGTGGTGAAGTATGGTGTAACGTGTTTTTGATAGATATTGTTTGTGGTGAAGGTATGATATAATGTGTTTTTGATAGACATTGTTTGTGGTGAAGTATGATGTAATTTGTTTTTGTTAGATCTCTTTGGGTAGAGGTAAAGGTGTAATGTTGTTTTTTGTCTTGTTTATGGTGAAGGTATAGATGTAATGTTTTTGTTAGCAGGTAATTACAGGCTTAAGATACACTGGTTAGCCACTATATTAGAACTCCCGGTATATCTGCACTAGATAAAACTGGAAACAGGTATATCTGCATTAGATAAAACTGGAAACCAGTTAACTGTTCTTGTAAAACTCAAGAGGTCGTTTATTTTACTTCATGGTTAAAAACACCACAAAAATCAGTTTTTACTGAGAGTTTAATCTAACCTATCCAGTCGAAGACCCTATTAAATTATATCTTTTGTGAAACTAAACAGGCAATTTTAAATAGATTTTGTTCTGTTCTGTTAAATTCTGTGAATGTTTAAATAATACTACAAAACATTCTCCTGGAAAAGGTGGTTTCTCCATGATCATATCTTGAGCAGGAGCCATTGGTTATCGCAAATTCACCACGACCGTATGCAACTGTCTTAAGCATTTCAATTTGAATAGAGTCAATGGCTGTTCCATACCACGAGCTGAGTGAAGGCTTTGAATTGATTGAGCATTCTTGACGAGGGTTTTAAAACACAACCAATGAAATTATCTTAGTTGCTATAAAAATATTGTATTATTTCACTCTCAAGTCCAAGCAAACAGTTACGCCATTACAGATTTGGAACAGTGTTTTTCTGCCGTTCAGAGAAAATAAAAGACGTTCAGTTGCAGTTTAGTCACGCATTGCGATATTTGTGAGCCAGGGGTAGCCTAGTAGTTATTGTGCCAAGTTGAAATATACTGTCGAGCACGCTCCATGCTTTCAGCTGTGTGTCTTTATAACTGTAAGATTATTCTTCTATTCGGTTACTTGTAATCACATAAGCAGCAGATGTAGCTGACTGGTTGCCTTCGCTCTGGTCTGCAGTTCTAAATCAGTTACAGCTCTGCTTAAACCTAGGAAGCCTCTGACATGACTGTTTAGCCCAAGTGTCACTGTTTAACCCGTATGTCACATAAGTTTCTGTTTTTATTTTAAAATATCAAATTCTTAACTTTTTTGTATACTTCGGACTTCTCTTGTTATTTTCATTATTAAGAACGTTTTCGGTTAGTTTTGTGAGTGAAAATCGAGTGTGTGTTACTGGCAAACAATGACTTGGAAATTCCCATCCGTTAAAGGAAGATCGTGATCAAAATAAATTTTAAGTGACAAATTTAATATACCTTCGCTTGGCGTATCGTGACTTTGTCGACCTTGTTAACACTAACACCGAACTGGTGTATCACTTACTGTGTACAATTGTAGCTACATTTATTTATGGGTGAAGTGTTCATCGCCAGGAACTGTTTTCCTCGCACAGTTTTGAAAGTCGTTTTCAGTGTTTTGTTATTAGATTATGATGATATTCATTTCATTCAAGGTTATACATTTTCTTTGCTAAGATTCGTGAAGCATAAGTTAAGTTGAAACTTGACTATCTACGTGAAATGGGTTGTACAGTTCAGTACTTCTCAGTTTTTACGAAGCACGTATTTTGCAATTAACAGGATCGTATCACTTTGTCTTCCAGTAATTTAATTCCAAGTTTACGCAATGTCTAATTGGCTATAGAGGTGAAAAACGTAATCTCTAGGAGATGATTTATATGGATTTGTCTTCAAAGCAACAATATTTCCAGGTACAACCTCATTCTACTTAGATTAACGATTTCTATAATAGTATGACATACGACAGATAAATAAACTAAAAACTGGCATTTGAAAGGAAAAGTCTAAGACTTTGGTAATTCATACGAAATTATTTTTGCTGAAAAAAATGATCAATGTAATTTTTTTTCCCGAAATTGAATCTCACCAAATTTTAAGTTTATTTTCCTTCCGGGTTCTTTTAAGTTCGGATATTAATGTTTTTACAAACAAATTACAATTCAATAGTTTTTTCTATGTGTTTCCAAGTAATATTAGGCATAACAATCAACATTTTATGCAACTGTAAGAAATAGAATATTTGTTATTGAAGATATCTATTGTATCTGGCAAACATGAGAACTTAATGAAAAAATCAACTAAGTAATTTAAAAAGTAAGAACAGCTTTCAGATTCCTGTCATAGTTTAAACAAATTCACATATTTTTGTGGAAAATAATAATAGTTTAGCTTAATGGTTGGTTTTGTTTGTTTGAAGTTAAGCACAAAGCTACACAATGGGCTATCTGTGCCCTGCCCACCACGGGTATCGAAACCTGGTGCTACTGGGGGCACATTTGGTGGTGTAAGCCAGGTAAATTTGATAAAATACAGACCCACATCTCAAGACTGATTTTATTTGTTTGTGTTTATGCTCAAAGCTACACAATGTGCTACCTGCGTTCTGCCCATCACGGGTATCGAGATCAGTTTTTTAGCACATAAGCTCTCAAGCTTACAACTGAGCCACAGGGAGGGGAGCCCAGCAGACAGTTAGCCGAAATGTCAAAATTATATTTTTATTCTTTATTGTATTTATACACACACACTTTGAATAGCATTTAATGATAACAAAAATATGCTAAATAAGTAATTAAACGCCCCCAGTGGTACAGCACACATCGCCCACCGTGTAGCTTTGTGCTTAACTACAAATAGAGCAGTTAAACCTTTGTATCTCAAATTTATAGACGAAAAAAAAAAAACTTTTATAAGTCACTCTTTCATATGATAATTCCAAAAATAAATTTAAATTGTATTTCTAGTCAAAATTTATGTTACATACATAATACTTTACATTACAGAAAATTTTGCTAATTAAGAAAAAATAATATTTACGTAACTCGTACAGAATTGTGGTTTAAGTTTTTAATATTCCAGCTATTGATATATGTATTTAAGTTAGTATTTTACGTTATCTTAAATTCATCATAATTAATATTATAAACTTTTTGTTCCGTGTCTATAATGTTAAATGGAACATTCTCCAATGATTTTGCGAGATGACTTCATGTCTAGATATATGGTAAAGAAACTGAGTGATGGTGACCTTAATGCCTACTCCCACCTACTCCCTCTAGAACACAAACGACCTTTTTTCCCCCTTCTTTTACATTCCATCAAGAAACAAGATAGAACAGATTGTATTTTGTACGCAAGCGCAATGACCGAGTTATGTGATACCTCCACGTGTGGTAGGTAAAGGTCGCTCTCACCACTGGTGCTTTATGATCGGAATCTCACTGAGATCTGTTCTGATCTGATAGAGGAGAGAACCTGCTGAGGAATCCAGGCAATCTAGCTATTAAATTAGAAAATGGAGTACAATGGTCTGTTTTCTTTTGTTATCCTACAGGTGATGACACTTGGTAAGTCAATTCAGATATGGCTTTTAATCTAAAAACATATGGTCTAAGGCAGGTCCTTTGTAGCATTTTGTTTCATTTAGTTATATAACATAAGTAATTCTGTTGAAAGATCGTTTTCAGTTATCAGTATCACAAGCAATAACACCAAGGTAAGTCCGTTAAAACAGTGTTTTCAGTTATCAGTGTCACAAGTAATAACTCCAAGGTAAGTCCGTTAAAACAGTGTTTTCAGTTATCAGTATCACAAGCAATAACACCAAGGTAAGTCCGTTAAAACAGTGTTTTCAGTTATCAGTATCACAAGCAATAACACCAAGGTAAGTCCGTTAAAACAGTGTTTTCAGTTATCAGTGTCACAAGTAATAACTCCAAGGTAAGTCCGTTGAAAGATCATTTTCAGTTATCAGTGTCACAGGCAATAACACCAAGGTAAGTCTGTTAAAACAGTGTTTTCAGTTATCAGTGTCACAAGTAATAACTCCAAGGTAAGTCCGTTGAAAGATCGTTTTCAGTTATCAGTGTCACAAGTAATAACTCCAAGGTAAGTCCGTTGAAAGATCGTTTTCAGTTATCAGTGTCACAGGCAATAACCCAAGGTAAGTCCGTTAAGAAAGTGTTTTCAGTTATCAGTGTCACAGACAATAACTCGAGGTAAGTCCGTTAAGAAAGTGTTTTCAGTTATCAGTGTCACAGGCAATAACACCAAGCTAAGTCCGTTAAAACAGTGTTTTCAGTTATCAGTATCACAAACAATAACACCAAGGTAAGTTCGTTAAAACAGTGTTTTCAGTTGTCTGTGTTATAAGTAATAACTCCAAGGTAAGACCGTTGAAACATAATTTCAGTGCAAGATATACTGACATCGATTAAGTTCATTAAAACACTGCTTTCTAAGTTATTGATATATATATATACATATATATATATATATTATTTTTAACATTGAGAAATCTGTTGAAACGTCATTTTCACTATGTATGAACGAACAGTTTTTAAGCTATCAATGTGACGTCCGCTGTAAAAAGTATCTTTATAGTGCATACGTCTTTAAAGCATCTGTTTTACACCCGTATTTAAACAGGTACTACTAATACGGTAATCTATATACTGCATATTTAATGTGAACTAGGTATCAGAAAAAAATTATTGCAAGAGACTTTCACCTAGCGAGTAATTAATTTTCTTTCCGATTCGTTAATTGTTGTCAAGGGAAGTGATGAGGAGAAGATCTAGGTTAAGAAACTTTGTACATGTGCCTTCGCCGAACTATTGCTCGCATTGAGTTGCGTACAAACAAAGAAAAATTGATCTTTATTTGGGATAAAACATAAATATACTGAAGAAATGTATTTATCAGGCATATATTCTTGAAATGTTGGAGAGAAAAAAAGAAAGAAGAAAACCTGTGATTTTCATCCAGCTGGGAGAATTTGATCATAAACATCATGATTAATACAAAACTTTTTACTCTGTTTTTATTTATTGTGATGGCACACCGTTCATCGGTTTTAGGGTAAATAAAACCCAAACTTAACAAGATGGCGAGTAGTTATTAAGCTTGATTTGTTTGTTTGGGCTATTTGCTGTGTCCACCACAGGAAATAGAACACCGGATTTTAGCATTGAAAGTCCGTAGACTTACCGCTGTTCCTGTTAAACTTGATAGAACCGTAATTTTTTTTTCAATTCTATTAACGATTATTCAGTGTAATATTTAGAACAGCACGTGTTTTATAGCTCTATGTGAATGATTAATAATTACTAATAATATTAGTTCTCAGTTAAGGTAATGTTAGTAAAAGGACGTGACGATATACTAATGCAATGTTAATCACTAAATTACTACCTATATTACTAATAATGCTGTCAGAGATATTACACCTATACTGATAAACATATGGAGACACTGAGTTGAGACTATTTCATAATTCTGAGTCTTTTATCAAACCCCCCTGTTCATGGGGATTTATCATTTTTGGTCATAACCTTTATGTAAATATTCAGATGATTATTTTTTGAAGAATAACCATTAAATTTATTTCTGTTTTGTTTGGATAAGAAGTTTCCACTTTTTGAAGTTGTTTGACATGTGTGTGAGTGTGTGTGTATGATTTCATCGATTTTGACATTCAGTAAAGCAAAACACAAAAAACTCAAATTGTGGTTATAAATCATAGGTTTAGCCTTTATTTCTTATTATCAATTACACATACAATCACTTGTACCTGAAATGGAACTGAAATTAAAACTTCCAAAGGACATACACTGGATGGTAACTTTATTACGACCTTTGTACCTTTTAGACATGGGTCTAAACTGACCTGCAGGTGCAATTTAGGTTGATCACATGATTTATGATGGGATCCCTGCAGTACTATAAATGACTAGGACAAGCACAGTTGTAGTCAGCCTAATAGATATGGAGAAAGGCACAAATGTTGCAGCGTTCAAAACAGGCATGACAGTGGGTGCACGTATAGCAGGTATCTTAGTGTCTAAGACAGTTTTATTGGTAGGCTGCTCCAAGACATCGGTCATTCGAGTTTATCAGCAATGGCAAAAAGTGAATAAAATGTTTGCTATGAAGGGAATTGTGACCACAAACATTTAGTGACAGATAGAGGAGAAAGACAGTTAGAAAGGATAGTAAAGTACAACCGTCATGAAACAATAGACCAACTGATAGAGACATTTAGTTCAGGACAATTCACACCAATATCTAGCCATACCTTGGAAAGAACATTACATGTCTTACCCATTTTTGCACAGATTAGATAAGGTAGATTTGTAGAAAGCCACAACCGATCACTTGACCCTTTTGTGTGTTCGAATCTAGTTTGAAGTCTGTTTTCCTGACATACCCTGGGTCTCTAAGTCCCTCTAGACAGTAGAATGAGTGTCACAGCTTACCTCAGCATTATTTCTAATCATGTACATCTAGCGATGTTTGTTGTGTACCCTAATGAGGAAAGCTACTTGCGAGACGACAATTCTCCTATCCACCATGTCCACATTGTGCATGCATGGTTTGTGGAATATGATGGAGACTTAAGGCATCTCCGTGGATACCAAAACCACTGAACCTTAATCCAATTGAGCTTTTGTGGGATGACTTTAAAAGGCAAATTTCGTCGTCAAGATCCTCTACCTATCTAGCTCCATAAATTGAATACAATATTAATAACAGAAAGGAGAAAATGCCTGATACACCTTCCAGTACATGATGGATTCTATACCACGTCATGCCATGAGTTTTATTCGAGTAAAAGGTGGCCCAATCTGTTATTAGGTATTTTCCAGTTTTATCTAA